AAATATATTTAAATAGATTATTTAGTTTCGTTGATGATAAAATAAGAGCAAGGATAACAAATAGCCTAACCAATAGTAAAGTATTAAAATATTATTATGTTTATAAAGATTTATCTTTTTAAATATCAAAAAGGTTTTTGATTTGATTTTTTTGTGTATAAAACAATTATTTAAAAAGAAAAACCATTATCTAATCTAATTGTTTCTTGGTAAGGAGACAAGAAAATAATATTATATTTTTTATGAAATAGAAATTAAAAAATGAAATGAAAATTCAAGTATTGTGTTTGCACTGATTGAAGGTGAAAAAATATTTCATTGTAGAATTTAGTGTTAAAATTTTAAAAATTAACATTATTAGAAAAAGAAATAAAGTAAATAAATAGGTAAAAATTAATTATTAATAATACATTAATATATTATATATAATAATAATAATAAAAAGAGAAAGATTATGAAAATAAAAATCTAAATGTTCATATTTATAATTTTAATGCTAATGAATTTTTTAATTACTGGGTGTTTTTGTTGGTTTTGTTTCCTTTTTTATTATTTGATTTAACATATTAAATGATTTGTATGAAGTTTCTGAAGATGGTGTTGAAGGTGGAGTAGAAAATGGCGATGCTGATAGTAGTGTGTATATGTTAGCCGAATTTAATTTTGATTTGGTTTCCACTAAAAACATTAATATTAGTAATGATTAATTGATCAATTAAACATTTCAATATCAAGCAATTAATCAGGTTTACTTACAATCATTTGCTTCAGATTCTGGTGGATCAATCCAACCAGATGTAGGGACAACACCTTTTGTTTTTAATTATAATAAAAATAATAAATATATTAAATATATTATAAATATAATAATAAATCTCAAGTATCCTCCCAAAAAAGATATTTCAGCGAAAAGATATTTAAAAATGAAATTGAAAAATATATGTTTGTTGAAAATATAATGAATGTGGGCCATTAATTAGTTTTCTTGAATTCATTAAACTTACATGGAAAGTAAGAACCAAACCTTGCTGCTCTATTTATCCAATCTATAATATAAATATATACAAATATCATGAGATATGTGGTATATAAAAAAGTGTGAAATGTAATAAATATTCAAAAATATTCTTACTTGGAGTAGCTTTACCAACCAATCTCAGGCATAATTCATTTGTAAAATGATTACAATTTCTAATAATATCGAATATTATTTAAATATTATAATTGGTTTGTAATTGTAGATATTCGTAAATAATTAGAAAATACCTTGTTAATAGCCTATAGGTATTTCCTTTCCATTCTTTTGATAGTTCTTGAATTATATTTTTGATTTCTTCTTTATCATACTTAGTATATCCGATTAAAATGGAATCTCTAAAAAATTTTTTTTTTGAAATTATGATAAAATATTTATTATTGTGTGATAAACTATTCCTACTATTATAATAATGTGAATATAACTATATTTTTACTTGTAAGTGACATTTGGTGGTCCCATTCTTGGAGGTAATTCGAATACTCCAGTAGAATCACCATCACTCCCGCCAAAATTATATTCTAAAAATCATTAAATAATTAAGAATATTAACGAATAATCAATTATCCAGCTATTACAATTATTATGATTACAATTATGATTACGATTATGATTAGTACCTCTTCCTAATACTTCTACTCCAGAATGAAATACTCCTAAATAAATAAACAATTAATTAACAATTAATTAGCACATTCATAATTCACAAATTAATTATTTTCCATGATTTAATTATTACCAACTCCAAATTTATATGCAACATCTGTAATGGTTCTTTTTGGCAGCTTTTATTTATTTAAAAAAAGTTATTAAAATTTAAAGCAACTTGTAATATTTTTTATATGATATTTTTTACACTTACCATATCATACACATTCACATACACCTTTAAAATAACAATAATAATAACTAATTAATAAATAATGAATAATAAATCAAACGTGTAGAAATATAAAAAAGGAAAGTACTGATTTTTACCGGAATTTGGCATTCTTTGTCCGAATGTGCTGATGTACTTGAATCTTCGAAGGAATAATATAAACAGTTCATTTTATTAATAATGTAAATTTTTTTTTTAAAAAAAATAACAACCTTTAATAGTGTAAATAGATAAATAGATAGTAGTAATAAATTATAAATAACTGTTGTGAAATATGACGTTGATTCAACATGTGATTCGCTTGCATCCGATCAATGTTTATTATATATTACTAATTCGATTAGGAGATTTTCCATATACATATTAATAATGAAGTCACTATAACGAATGAAAGCTTTTTCTATAGTAATAGTTAGTAATAGTGTATAAACAGTCTATCTCCTCCATCACTATAACTATATTAATATTGATATTAATATATTCTACAGTCCAGAACTCATTTACACCAAACATTTTAAATGGTATTTTTCTTTTTTTTTTTTAATGTATAAACAATACGTATTAAAACTCCGTTATATAACAAAAATTCATTTTATCGAGTTCCATCTTATCGAGTTCCGACTGTAAAACAATTTTTTAAATTTAATTATAACCATCTGTTTGGTTTCCGCCCGCAGTTAGGAGCCTCCCAGTTTCGTTCACAGTTTAAGTTTTCCAGAAAATTTTCGTGGGCGAAATGCCTAAACTATTGGTTAGTTTCGGTCACCATATAATAGGCATTCAATCTTTAATGGTCTCTTTACGTTTACCATAAAACTAAATATTAAAAAAAAGTCTGTATATTATAATTTCTCATAACTTTCAAATTTTTAATAAAAGGTTTGTTGTAATAAATTTTAAGTTGTATAAAATCAAATATATATCCTTTATATTGTATATATGGATTTGTAATTCCTGTTCAAGTTGAAATTGACAAAAAAATGTAAATAGTAATCGTTTATAACTTTAAAACCCCAAATTTTTTAATTCATCATATTATTGCTGGCTTTTTTGTTTTTATTTTGTGATTATAAGAAAAACAACCAACACAATTTTTCAAAGATATTAATATCATTGAAAACCCGGCATTGAAAAATCAAGACATCAGATTTAAAGCCCAAACCCAAAATAAAGCAATTAAAAAGTTTTATGTAAAAAAATAGAATTCATTCGAGCAAGAAAATATCACAAAAAAAAAATAAACGAGGCAAACATATAAAATTTACCAGCACATAAGTGTGCTTAGATTCTTTTAAATAATATAAGCAAAGTCGAGAGGACTGATTTAAAAACTTCGCACTAATAATAGAAGCTCTAATGAATTATAAAAAAATTAATTGTAAATTATCAAACAAGGAAACACTAAATGTTTGACTGACATACAAATATTACATTATGAAACTGTTTTCACCGTTGAATTTTATTTATTTATTTATTTTAAATAGTTATTAAATCAAAAAGACGAATTTTTTTGCTACTAGATTGTGACTAATACGTAATGTCGTTGATTGGCACCGAGACTATTGAGTTTGATAATCCATTTCATGAAATTGATCAAATAAACTATTATATATATCGGCCATTAGCACTTAAGCCATGATGTGATTTGGTACAAAATAAATTGGAACCATTTCATTTGTGGTTTAGTAATTTAATATCATTCTTAATATTCTTAATACATTGTAGCAGTTTAAGTATGGCAAAAATGTTTGGATTCCATCGTATGTTTTAATGTTCTATTTTGCTTATTTAAACCCTTTTTGACGCGCTACATGTGAAATGCTATTATATTAATTATAGCAATAGCAAAAGTTATAATATCAACAATTATAATAATACGATGGCTATATGGTGACTGGAGCATGGTAAAACTTATTTTAATTTCCCAATTAATATTAATATCAATTGATATATGCTGTATGTCACAATTTGTGATTATTGGAAATTTTGATGATTTTCATCAAAAAAAATTTTTTTTTCTTTTAAACGGATAATAATAAATATATAAATATACAAGTAACTAACTAATACAAATAATAAATAATCAAGATGCAGATTTTTGTTAGAAATTTAAGCGGTAATACTATTACCGTCGAAGCTCAACCATTTGATACCATTGATGTTGTTAAAAGTATAATCGAAGATAAAGAAGGTTACTTACCTATAATAGTAATAATATATATTGTAAGGTATGAATGAAAAGAATATTAATCATTCATAAATGTGTATAGGGATTCCATCGGATTATCAAAGATTAATTTTTAGTGGTAAACAGGTATTTGATTACTACATAATAATTATATTCATTAGAACTAATTAATTGATGATAATATTATTAATAATACTATCATAATCATAATCATAATCATAATCATAATCATAATCATAACCATCATCATTATCACCACTAGCTTAATGATAGTTGTAGTCTAATTGATTATTCTATCGAAAAAGAATCAACCTTACACTTGTCGCTTAGTTTACTTGGAGGTGCTAAAAAACGTAAAAAGAAGACTTATACCACACCAAAGAAAATTAAACATAAAAGAAAGAAAGTCAAATTAGCTGTATTGAAGTATTATAAAGTTGATGACAATAATAAGATCACAAGACTCCGTAGAGAGTGTCCAAATGTTTCATGTGGTGCTGGTATCTTTATGGCATGGCATTATGATCGTCAATATTGTGGAAAGGTAAAAATAAATATTATGTTTGTGTATGTGGTTGTTTTGTACATATATGCATATTTTAAAGAAATATTAATTCTTTTTTTTTTTTTAATTAAAAAAAAAGTGTGGTCTTACATATGTATTCAAAAAGGACGAAGCAGAATCTTAAATTATCAATAAAATTAATTAAAATTATTTTTTGGTGAAAAAAGAAAAAAATGACAAATTGATTTATTTATTATATCTATATATAAAAAAAAATTTAATAAAAATCTGATTTTATTTTATAATAACAATACAAGTTGTTGATCAAAATAATTATATTTACACCAAAAATTGCAATTGTAATTGTAATCATATAGTAATAATGATAATATTATTTATTCCTTAAAGTTAATTTTACCAATATATCATTTTTAGCCATAATAGCAAATTTTTCTTCTTTCTGAACATCATTTAAGTTCATTGCTAATTCAACATTGAATTTTTGGAAAATAAGACAAATCATCATTTTGACATCTAACAATGCAAGTCTTTCAGCTGGACAAATTCTAGCACCAAAGCCAAATGGACAATAAGTTGATGGTTTAATGGTGTTGGTGGTGGTGGCAAATCTTGATGGTTTGAATTCCAATGGATTTTCAAAAAAATTTGGGTTTTCATGCAACAATGGAATTGGATATAAGATAGTTGTATTTGATTTTAACAAAAGGCTATTATCAATCTTGTGAGGTTCAATTGTTGAAGATGACAATGAAGATTTTGTTGTTGTTGTATTTTTTTCAACATTCATATCTGATTTTAAGAAACGTGCACAAAATGCTCCAGGTGGATGAACTCTCAAAGATTCTTTAACAACTTGAGTCAAGTAATCCATTTTTGATAAATCTTAAAAATAATACAAATATGTTAATCTTGTGTAAAAGTTAAATAATGCATGTGTATTATCATGTGCCTTCGTATATGTCAATTTTCAGCATATGAGTTAGAATAGGATATCTTTTTAATCATAACTTATATATTCAAAAATTTAATCCTATCAAAATTATCAATGATGATTGATTACCTTCAAATGTGGGCAAATGACATTTTAACACTTGATCAATTTCTTTTTGAAGTTTTTTTTGAATTTCAAGATTTTGTGTTAATTCAAATATAGTCCAAGAAATTGCTATACCAGTTGAATGATATCCAGCAACAACAAACACACTAATAAACATATTTATCTAATGCAACAACAAAAAAAAATTAGATATTAAATATAAATCTAATAATAATAATATTATTATTATAATTACCATTTCATCAGTATAAGGATGATTTGTTTCAGGATCAATTGCTGATATCAAAACATCAAGCATATCTTTCACCAATATATCCTCACCATCAACATTGATCTTTTCTTTTCTTATAGAAATTAGATTCCTTAAAGTTTCTTGTAAATAATTAATAGAATTTTGAACTTCTTCTTCACGTGGTGCTTCCAGCATACCAATTTGTTTATCAAATAAACCACCTAATACAATATCATATCCTTTTTTGAATGCTTTTAAATCAAGATCTTGTGGCTTATCTATACTATTATTGAAATAATTTGTAAAAAAAAACATATACAATGTTTATAAGTGTGATTTTTTCCTTTTGTTACCTTATGATTACCCTCATTGTTGCTCGCAAAGCAAATTCAAGTGATTCATCTTGCATTCTAAATATGGTATCTTTATTTGAATCCAAGATTTTTTCCCATTGACTAATAAATCTAACTCCAATATCTCTCATTTGATTATATTTCATTGATAAAACTAATTTCATGATAATAATAACAACAATGAATACATACATACATATATTGTAATCAAAGATATAGTATACTTATTTATAAATATATTTATAACCTTCATGTCCTAAAGCTGGCCCAATCAATTTACAAAATTTGGCAGCTCTATCAGCTTCAAATATTTGTAAATTATCTTGCCCAAACATTGGTTCCAAAAATTTGAACAAAAAATTAGGTCTATCACCTATTGATAATGTTGATTTTATAATCAGAGGATCTGTCACAGAAATAGTATTCCCAAAAAGTGGTCCTCCAGACTTTACTACACAACCTTGAGTTGAATGTAATTTATGTAAATAAGGAATGAGACCTGATGATGATATCTTGTCTTTATTCTTTGATTTATTATGAAAATAAGAATAAAAAACAAAATATATTGGAAGAAAGAGACATAAAATTAATATTCTGTGATTTATTATATCTATCTTTTTTATCAATTATAACAAAGATAATGAGGCGTGACATAATTAACAATTATTAGAAGTTTATACAATTATGTGATTTATAGTGTGTTTTAGATATTTAGCATGTTTAGGTTATTAGATCTAACAGATTTGTTTAGATAAATCTGAATTTATTTTTTGTTAAAATCATTTGATGTAGTTTATAAGGGTTTGAGCAAAGATTAGAAAATATAGCAATTTATATAATAATTAATCATTAAAGCAAATAGGGGAAACAAGTTTAGACCTTTTGCAAAACAATACAATATGTTTGAAATCAAAAGCCAAAACAATATGAAAAGTTCTCAATATCAAATGTTGAGGGTGTGCATGTGTCACATTCATCACATTCAATAATAATCTGGTTAATTCTGGTGACTGAAGTGCAGACATTTGGAATGCCTGGTTGATTGATTGCCCTTTAGCAAATAAAAAGGAAGGATTGTGCTAAGTTGGTGCTAAAGAATATGAAAAACATGAAATCAGCCTTCATTCATACCATGATATGTTCACATTTATCTGATCAACCCATGCTCCAATGGCAGTGCCATTTGGGAATGTAAATACGACATTATTATAGTTTCCTGCACCATTTGCCATAAGATTTTTGACAATTGCACCTTTGTTTTGGCCTGCAATGCCATTTTGAGAACCCAAAGCAGTGGGAACATCATTGTAACCTGCCTGATTCCACTCAAATACAAGGGCAGGCATATTTTTGTCTTTTTTTAGAGTTTTGAGAACCAAAGTAGCTGTTTTACGATTTTGAAGGACAGGAGGGAGATTTTCAGGTGCTAAACACAAGAATATCAATCAATATATATGGACACAAACATGCATGGAAATAATTTAACTGCTAATTTTTACATACTTGTCTTGCTTTTTTTTGCAAGTTTTTTAATGTCTTTTTTTTGAATATATTTGAATAGGTTAAACATATTTGTGGAACAGATTGTTATAATGTAAAGTTTACAAAAAAAATATGCAAATAAAAAAAGTATTAAAAAAAATGTTATTCCATTAAAATCACATGCACATGAACAATTGTTCACGCCAATCACTTTTGCAAGAAAAAATTTGAACATCTTTGATCACTATACATAAGATATGTCTCACAAAACTAGAAATAACAGACAAATAACTCAAGGTAGATTTACTACAAATTCTGCACAATATCTACAATTTCAAAACCAGGATAAATATGATCACATTATTCATGAAGGTCATATAACTGTCATAAATAAGAAGACACAAGATGTGAAGGAGGTATTTGATTATGAGGAGGTATGTAGATATCTAGAGATAAATAATATTGGTTTGGGCATTCTCGATATGTATAGGAATTAATTGGCTTATTTTTTTTCAGCACTTTATTCTTACAATGAATATATCTATGAAAATCTCAACCACCTGGGTCAATTTATTGATATAGAAAAAAATAAATTTACATAATAAAAATATATAATGTTTTTCAATATTACCTTGATATTTATTTGTGGTAGTGATGAATGGTGGGACTTGGATGAATGTTTAGAGGTGGATGTGTAATAGCCTGATCTAGTGCTTGAACTACTAGACTTCATTTACAATCACAATGTTCTAAGTAATATATTCAGTTTTTGTCAGCTAAATTTTAGAAAATAAAGTATCATCTATTATTAAAGAATATTTAAACTAATACATACCCTAAATGTTAACAATAAGCAAATAAGGCTTCACACACCATGGTTTATCAGAAGTTAAAGAAATTTCTGCATGATCGAAGTGGAAATAGTGGGATATACCACTTGCATCATTTATAGGAACATTTAAGTATATTTCCTTGCTAGCAACTTGAATACACACAATTCCAAACTGGTTGTTGGTTAGTCTACATAACTCACTGACAAAACTTGCCCCATCTAATATCTCCCTCCATAACTTTATGCTATCCTCTGTTTTTTTTTGATTTGGTAGCAACAATACACAAACATTCTGCATATGCAAGCTCAATAATTTTTTTGTTATGCTTCATCATCACCATGATGTCAGGCTCCTTTCCAATCCATGTTTCACTTGCCCCAAAATTTCTTCTAGTCTTGCTCACTATACTCTGATGTTCTGATCTATAATTTAAGAAAAGTGATGAGTGATGTGTTTTTCTTTTGCAAACACTATTTATCAATTATTTACTTACATGCTCAAACAAGTACTACCATGTGAATAATTTTCCGGACTAGCTTGAAGTAAAGGAACCACAACATCATCCCTTCACTTTGCTTACTGTGTGACATACTGGTTTTGAATGCTGGGTTGCTCTGTATCTCACCACTAGTTTTAAAAATGTATATATACATAAAAAGGTTCTATGTATGAAGGAAAAATTCTCAGTAAGATTACTTACTATATGTTTAGAATACATTCAGTTTTTTTTACCAGTTCAGTTTCATCCTCTTTCCATGTTTTATTGTGAAAAATATTCTTATTATTCCTTGAAATATCTGAATCATCAAAGTGCGCCACGATCTCATCACACTTGAAGGTAATTGAAACTGGCATATCACATCTCATATTTCCACATGGTTCCTAAAATTGGATAAGTAATGGTGAAAAAAATGTGAGTATAGACTTGCCCAAATATTGAAATATTCATCACCATAAAAACAACCTTCTGCTTCTTTCTCAAGTCCATTACTATATCAGAGTCACCAGCAGATCTCACCACATAAGATCAGAAAAGCTGACACTCTCCAAGGATTCTCTTATGGAACCATAAAGATTTGTATCTGTTTCTACAAAAGGACTCTAAACATAAAGTTATTATCCAAAAATTTCAAAACAAAAAAAGGTATTACTTTCAAATAATTCAAAACTATTTTACACCCACATCAAGCTTTGTCTTCAAAAAATTAAGATTCCATTCTATTTCCTCTTCTGTATGGTATGGAATCAGTTCCCTGTCCTGTACATCTTGTTAGCCCATATCAAATAATATCACATCTAGCCAATTAATCATTAACACCTTACCATATTCAACACCTTTAATGTTTTTAATCCTTGAGCACTCCTATATCCACTCTCCATCTACAGTAGATGTAATAACACATACCAGTATGTTAGACTCATAAAATTTTTATAAATGTGATGTTGCACTTTACACATGAGCAGAATCAGATTATTTATTGACAAAAGAGCACCATTGTTTCAACTGGATAGTCACGCACAGCCAGGGGAGCAGAAATCCTTGTCATCCTGCAACATCACTCTTCCAGGCTGGCAGTCCCCAACCTTCAGTTATGACATGCCAAAACTAAGGCTCAACATCTACCATAGTATCATCATTTTATGTGAACTATAACCCAGAAAATTATCATTAATCTCTGGTAAAATATCCATTATTTTATCTCTTCAATCAGAATTGGAATCATCCATTTTTTTCAATTCTTTCTTCACCACATGACTTGCTAAATCTTCAACATCCTCATATGCACCCAGGGTATTATCATCCATTGTCAAATAAACAACAAAAGTGGAACAAATAGCAACCAATGGTTCTTCCAAGAGATCTATGATTCTTGAAACTTGGTTTGACATATTGAGAAGTTTTTAAAATGTATTGTTAATGTAAAAAGTAAAATCACTGTAAAGCAATCTATCTAACATTTCAATATGCTGTCCTTTTTAAACATTTCCCCTCCATGTTTTCTTCTGGATCTAAAAGATGGATAATGCTGAGAGATAAAGCAAATGTATATAATTACCAAGGAAATTGGAATATTTCCTTTTGCAATCCAGTAAATCATTTCATAATATTAATCATATGTTTGTCACCATTAGTGGTTTTTTTTTGGAAGAATCTTGCATGGTTATTCTAGAAGCAAAGAGTCATTATGTTGGTTTGAAAGTGCATGAGTTGCTAGAGTGGTAGATTTTGAAACACTCTTTGATCCCAAATAATAACAGTAATTTAACAGTGTTACGAAAACATGTAATGTATGAACCCTAACGTATGATTTTTATTTCCATACATGTATGAAAATGCAGATCATACATACATACATTTTTATTAAATTAATATAA